GGGAGCATTGCTCCCAGTACTTCTGTTAGTCTCAAAGGTGCCACAGGACCCTCTGTTGCGTTTTAGTGATTTTGGGTGGCTTGATTTTTAGGTGTCCAGTTTGAAGGGTCTGATTTTCAGAGGGCAGGTCCTTGGCACTTCTGAAACTCCAGCTCTTTGAAAGGCATCTCAGATTGGGCATCCAAAAATCACCTTTGAAAACCTTGGCCCCTGGCTTTATATTTACAGATGCCATCTCCAGGCTGCTGCACTAATCTTTGCTGTCGTTCCCACAGAGAAGAAATACCTTAGTGAAGCCTGTAAGGACACAAAGGCGGAGAATGGCATCCTGGGGGATAAACTGCGACCAGCTCTCCTTGACATTGCTAAGCAGAGCCTTCCTGATGTCAAGGCAAGTGTGCTAACCCCAGGGCACCTGCAGAAGGTCAAAGGTGTTTTTTTGATTACAAAAGGGTCAGAATTGAGAAGTGGTTGACCAATTTCCAAGGGGCAAAATACTCTACATTGTAAGGGGGCTTCTCTTCTGCTAAGATAAATGGGAAGCAAGCAGATGCTGAAGGAAATCCTATGTTTCCCAGGCTTGGCTAATCAACAGCACAATTATAGAAGTGACTGGGACACAGTAAAGGGAGATTTCTAATCCCAGTTAGAGTTGAGCATGGTGTGGCTAGTGCTGTGAAAAGATTCTTCACAATCTTCCAGGGTACTTTCATCTTCATGACCTCCAGCATCCCAATGTTAATCAAACCCTGAGCCTCTCTCAAGTGCAAAAAAACAAACTGAGTTCAATTACATTAGGCCTGTGGGGTTGGGGAGAAAAAATCCTATAGGTACGTGGGGTTGACACCACAAAAGTCATTTCCCTTATGATCTAATCCAGATTTGAATCTAGTTTGAACCTAGGAATAAGAAGCCAAGGTATTAAACCACTGACACATCAAATTTCTCTTTTCACTGGCCCCATTCAATCACATTATTCTCTCGGGGACTGTAATCCACACTATGATTTCACAATGATGCTGTACTTGGGTAATTACTCCCCACCATACCTCAGCCTCCAAGAGAGAGGAGTGTTACTGGAGTGTCTACATACTTCTGGGAGCCAAATTCAGCTTGGATCTCTCCTCTGTGAAGCTGTCTGGGGGTGTCAGCAGCTCCAACTGGAAATGGCATGACACCCACTTTTAGCAACGAGCCCTGGAGAAGAACCCTTTCCTCCATTTCCTAGAGCTTTCAGAACTGCAGGTGGGCATGAGAGAGTCCGGGGCTAGGAGAGATGTAAGATACAGAAGGAGCAATATCTGGGGAGCATAAAGGAAAACTTCCTCCTGTTTGATTACAATCTTGATTTCTGTTTCCTGTTTGTCTCTCTGCCTCTTATTCCCTCCTCTGAGAGGCTTTTGTTCTTACTTGAACACTCTCTAATCTCCCCCTTCTCATTTCTTCCTGATTCCCTCTCCACTCATGTAGTACCCTCTCTGCTTACCACAGCCGATGCTGTTTCTGCCATGGCTCAAAGTGAACCTGGATCGCTGGTTAGCTTGTGGAGATTCCCAGCCAGCTAGGCCTCTCTGGGAGGGACTGGGAGAGCAGTAAGAGCAAAGCTCACAGACACACAAGCAGACCAAATCTCCAACTGGCATAAATGGGCATAACTCCACTGCAGTCAATGTGGGAATGCTGTGCCCAGCAGTACGAAAGGGAAACTAGAAGAGCTACAGTATTTACCTGCTAGATGAGAGTGAGGTGCTGCCAGCAAACAAAATTGCCCCTTTAGGACAGCAGCTGCTTTCCTCAGGCAAATTTAAAGAGCCAGCCCCAGCCCGAAAGGCATACTAGGAAAAAATGCCTATCAGAGGGCAGCAAGAGTTGATAGGGATTAGGAAGTTAGTAAGAGAGGTGCTGCTAGTGGTGTTTTCACTACTGTATCACAGGAATCATGCTCTAGTCTATGTTCTGATCTCCTCCCTCTGTGTCCTTTGTAATGATTTTCAGAGGCAACAAAGACTTTTGAACTGAAGTCAATGGAGCTATCCTGATTTCTAACCACTGAGGATTTGGCCCAAAGAGATATAAACCACTTGCCTCACGTCTTGCTTGCCTAACCACATCCAACACATACAAGGCCCCTCAGCACACAACATTTGGCTTGTCTACACTTGAAAGTTAATTTGCATTAAGGTAGGGTATGAATTTAAAATGCAATAACTATTCCTGAATCACTTCATCTCTTAATCCAGAATAAGAGTGTCCACTCATGAAGTGATTCAGGAATAGCCATTCCAGAATCACTCCATGTGCTGACAAGCCCGAAAGGGCAGATCACCACTAGGTATAAACAGGCCTTCAGTTTCAGTGACCGGAGGAAGAAAATAGATGTCTGTCTTGCCTGTTTACATTGTTAAAGAGCCAGTCTCTCTTGCTCCAGATCCAGAAACTCCAAGAGGAACTGGACAAGCTGGGTACCTGCCTTTCCCCCTCCTGCACCAGCACCAAGAACCCGGAGAGTGTGGGCAGCAACGCAGACTTCCTGGAGAGCTCCCGGGGCAGGCTGAGATTCTCCCTCTTCTACCACAGGGAGCGACTTGAGCTGCTCTTGACGGTCATTGCAGTGACAGGCCTGCCTAGCCGAGGGAGCGCTGACTCTGCTGTTCGGGTCCGGCTGCTGAAGCAGGTCCCATCTCACATCTCTGGCCTCCAGTGCATGGTCCATGAGTGGCAAACACAGGCGGTGAAGAACTGCAGGAAACCTGCCTTTGGGGACCAGTTTGTCTGCTCCCTGCAGGAGGCCGAGCTGGAGAAGAGCACTGTGAAGTTGGAGGTGGGGCTGGCTCATTCTGTGTTACCTTTGTCAGGTGCTGGTTAAAGAGGCTCAGCTAACGGTCCTGGAAAATGAGGCCTTTTCGATACCCACAGAAAAGGTGCATCATGGGAAAACTCCCCAATGCTGTCCCCTCCAGGTGTATTGCTCACTTCACCTCTGAAAGGGGAAGATGGGATTCATTCTCCATGCCCAGTATCAGAGGGGTAGCCGTGTTAGTCTGAATCTGTAAAAAGCAACAGAGGGTCCTGTGGCACCTTTGAGACTAACAGAAGTATTGGGAGCATAAGCTTTTGTGGGTAAGAACCTCACTTATTCAGATGAAAGTCACTTGCATCTGAAGAAGTGAGGTTCTTACCCACGAAAGCTTATGTTCCCAATACTTCTGTCATTCTCCATGCCCATCCACTCCATATCCTCTCTGAGACTAACAGGGTCTCACTGTGTGGCCAGTTAGGGTGCCGGGCTTGGTGTGACATGAATGGGACTGTGGCACAAACGCCCTTCACACAGGTGGTAAGGACTGGGGTCCTCTATATCAGCATTTGAAATGCTCAAACAGCAGTTCTTTGGTATTTTATTTCTGGGGCCTGAGGGGAGTGGCAGTATCTAAGTCAGCGAGATTTGATGGCTCTGATGCAGGACTGGCTGTGATCACTAGGTAGCATCACTAGCTTTGCCTCTCTCTCAATCCTTGGATACAAGGGTTCTCTGGGGAAATCCATTTGCACTCTTGGTCCATCAACGGCTTATGGAACAATGGTTCCTCCCTCTGGATAATTGGGGTAAACACATGGCCCTGTAGCGAATCAGTTGCCTACCTGGGAGGTGCTGAGGAATAATAGCTAGGATGAAGTGGAGCGTAGTGGCATTGAGTGGGTGAGAGGAAGGGTAAGATGAAAGTATCACATTCCTTCAAGATAAATCAGACATGGTTTATGATCTTCCAGGACAACTTTCAGAGGGGTAGCCATGTTAGTCTGGATCTGTAAAAAGCAACAGAGAGTCCTGTGGCACCTTTAAGACTAACAGATGTATTGGAGCATAAGCTTCGTGGATAAAAGCGTATGCTCCAATACATCTGTTAGTCTTAAAGGTGCCACAGGACTCTCTGTTGCTTTTTACAGGACAACTTTGAATGTAGGACAAGCAGGCAGCTGCCTGGGGCACTGCATCTGAGGATAATGAGGGGACAGCTGTGGTCACTCACCCCCAGGCCAGCTCTTCTCCATCTGCATCATTTCTGCTCATCCACGTCTCACTCCAAAGGAGTGTCCCTTCTGTTCCTTCATAGTCATGTGCAGCAGCAGGTGCCTTTGAGTCAGCATCCTTCATTTTGGGTGCTGCAGCACCTCTTTTTAAGCATCACTGCAGGCAAGACAAAGGCTTCTGGAGCACAGTTGGGTACCCAGGCCACCCACCACACACATAAATGAGAAGAATTCCTTCTGGAGGGGGAAAAATGATACAGGTAGCAGTAAGGACTAGAGCAGGAAGTGAGTGACTGACTTTTGGAGAGGCATATTCAAACAGGGCACCAATATCGCTTGAGCTGTACTCTGACCTCCATACATAAACAGAACATATGGCTCTTGTCCAAAGAGGAGGGCTAAGCAGATCTAGCAAGTTTTATTTCCTACTGCTTTTCCTTTAAGTGCTCGCAGCCCTTAACCTGAGGGCATCAAAAGCCCCTCTGAGTTATCCACAGTTTTTATTAACAGGAAAGAAGACGTCCCCCAATCAGGGAGCAGAAACAATACTATGGGACTTGGTGCCCAACCATTCAAACATTACATCCTCACACAGCAAACAATTTGAAAGTGTTCCGCAGGCTGGAGTGTGTTAGTACAGAATATTCACTGAGCAAATGGGAACAAGGAAGCCAGTGGTAAAAAACAGAGGTAGGTGCACAGATTACAGTAGAACCTCAGAGTTACAAACACCTTGGGAATGGAGGTTGGTCATAACTCTGAACAAAATATGATGGTTGTTCTTTCAAAAGTTTACAACTGAACATTGACTTAATACAGCTTTGAAATTTTATTATGCAGAAGAAATTCTGCTTTCGCTTTATTTTTTTAGTTTACATTTAACACAGTACTGTATTTGCTTCTTCTTTTATTAATTTTTTTTTTGGTCTCTGCTGATGCCTGATTGTGTACTTCCAGTTCCAAATGAGGTGTGTGGTTGACTGGTCAGTTTGTAACTCTGGTGTTCATAATTCTGAAGTTCTACTGCAGTGGTCCCCAACCTTTTTCGTCTGGTGGGCGCCAGACGACGAGCCGTGGTGGTGGACGAGCATCCGCCAAAATGCCGCCGACAAGCGGCAACTTCAATAGGCGTTGCTGCCGAAATGCTGCCGACAAGCAGCGTCATCCAGAGGCATTGCCGCCAAAATACCACCGATTTTCGGCAGCATTTCAGCGGTGACGCCTCTGGATGACGCTGCTTGTTGGCGGCATTTCGGTGGATGCTCGTCCTCCGGCTAGTATGCGGGTGCACTTAGATGCCACGGTGCCCGCGGGCACCGCGCTGGGGACCCCTATTCTACTGTATTTCCAACCAAAGAGCTCGACTCCTGAATAAGTTGCTCACTATGTGTGATCTGCACAGCTCTTCCTCCCAGTAACCTGAGACGCCACAAAGAAAGGGCTCTAAACCTAATCCTTTATGTATATTAATAGGGATTTTTTTTGTTTTTGTTTTTTCTCCTCTGCTACAAGAGCTTACAGAGACAGGGAGCTTATGCCAAGGAACTAAACAAAAGCACTATCTGTTCCAATACAGTTCAGCTCTCAAGACAGGAGTTGATGAGGAAGTCCCCTAGATGTAAGTGTTAGTAGCTGTATCAGGTGCTTTCTGTTTTCTGACTCAGCTGGTCAGTTTTTCATGGCATTGAGGAAGCAGCCCCAGAATGTGTTTCATATTTATGCATATTTTTATGTGATTATGGTTTTATTTTATTTTTCCTCTATTGGAACGTAGGCTGATTCTTTTGTTTCCATTCTCTTCCTGATGTTATGTTGTTAAATCAGCATATTGCTACTCCTCCCGCCCCCAGACTATAGTGATATTATGGCAATGAGTTCCACAGACTATCATTGAGACCAAGAGCTTAGAAGGATACACATGCTTCTGGAAGCCTATATGGATCACAAGAAAATCCTGAGTTGCAGTAATATGGATTGAAAACCTACAACCACCACCCTCAGGAGTTACAGAAAGGATGCAAACTCTCCTGCTTCAGGGTACAAGTCAACCTCTAATTACAGTTTGGAAGAAATTTTCCCTGGTAGCAGGTTATCTCATAACTGCCTCCTGCAGCATTCCTTGCACCATGCCTGTAGCAGCCAGTACTGGCCACTCTCAAAGACAGGGTACTGAACTGGATGGTCTGCAGGTCTGATCCAATACAGCAATTCCCATGTGTCACTACACACCTGCTATGTCTTGGCAATGCTCCAGGTGGCTCAATACTCCAAAGCTTCTCTACTATTTAGCCCTCAATTTTCCCATCTAATTACATTTACTCTTATTCACTTACATATGGGACCTTCAATGACAAAGTACCTAGCAAGGGTATGAAAGGAAATGCAGCAAGCAACTAACCAAATAACCATGACCAGAGTGGCTTGACCAGCCATTAACAGGCCCAGTGCTTGGGCAACAGTGAACTACAAAGGGGAGAGGAAGAGGCCATGCGGCGAGAGTGAAAGATGGAAGGAGACAAAACTGGCGCGCAGAGGAGAACAAAAAAATCCGCAGGGCAAGTTCCTCAGCTGTCTTAGAACATCTTTGCACAGCTCCTTTATGTCTCTATAATGTACTGGATATTGAGCTGTTGGATCTGAGCACCTCCAGAAAGGGAAAACAATGAATTTTCTCTCTCCCAGTAGGAAGCATTCTTAAAGTTTTTGTTTTTAACAACAGAAAGATACGAGAGTGCAAAGCTGTTCTGAAACCCATGTGAACAGCCACCAGAGGATTCTCTTGACATGTGTGGGGGGATTGTAAAGAGAGACGTTGGGCTGCTCCAGCGGACACCTGGGGCCACCCTGGCACAGAGCAGGGTAGCATAAACCTGCCTTTGCACAGCCCATCTTGAGCTGTGCAGAGTGCTGTTTACACTGCAAATGAATTAACTGTGAAGGAGAAGCCGATGGAAGGAAGTGACCGAGTGGTGGGGGAGTGAGGAGAGAAGAGAGCTTGAAGGAGCCTGTTCAGGTGATAGGGGAAGGGAAGGATCCAAGTTTTATTTGCTGGGGATGTGCCTCCCTTGCTCTCATTTCAGCCCAATACTGACCCCTTCAAACCTGGTGCCTGGTAGGTAGGATTTAGACAGCTGCCCTTAGAACGTGATGCATGGACATGGAGCTAGGCCTTGTGTGTGAAAAACAAAGGCCAGGTCTGAGACCTGGCCTAGTGCAGACGTAATTCCAGTTGGCTTCAGGGGATGTGGTACTGCATAGCCCTGCTCCTGTGTCCCCTGTAGGGGGATGCTGATTCTCTCTGTCCCATAGGTTAAACATTACAACAAGTATTCCAGACACACCATGCTGGGGGAAGTGAGGGTCACCCTCAGCAAACTAAAGGCCTCCCAACGTATGGAGTTCTGCGAGGAGCTACAGAAGACTACAAAGGTAATGGTTCTTGTGTCACCTCCCACAATGTAACTACATCATGATTGCACTGGATGTCTCCAGGGAGAGGGATAAAGAGCCTTTGACTTTTTTCAGGCAGTAACCGGCAGTCCCTGCCTTCCATCAGCATGGGACAGACCATGGAAAATGAGTGAGTGGCCTCATTACAGACCTACTTTGTGCTCCACATGCTTCCCAGGCAGGCTCTGCAGAGAGGCAGTGGTGTTTGGGAGCATGGAGTCCTGACTGTTCTCCCAGGGTATGTCTCCAAAGTGCAATTAAACACCCGTGGCTGGCCTGTGTCAGCTGACTCAGGGTCACGGGGCTGTTTAATTGCAGTGTAGACATTTGGGCTTGGGCTGGAGCCAAATTCTGGGACCCTCCCTTCTCTTGGGCTCTCAGAACCAGGACTCCAGCCTAAGCCCAAATGCCTACACTGCAAGCCCGAGGCACCTGACCTAGGCCAGCCGCAAGTGTTTAATTACAGTGTGGATGTACCCCCAGAGATGAACTATTCAAGTCAGGCTTGAGGCCCATTGGTGGGCAGCACAAAGAGGCTCATACTGCTGCTGCCAGTGGCATACCTGCTCCTGGATTAACGCAGGACTAAAGTTAATCGGGAAGCTTTTACCTGCACTAAAATAGCACGTACTTGTTTATGTAGCGGGAAGGTGCAAAATGAGAACACATTTTATATTCTAGGTTCCATTTATAACGGTTAATAAATGCTTAGCTAATGGTTATAAACAGGTTACAGTCTAGCTGGTTATAAGCAACCCCGAGTCCAACAACTCAAATAATTAACAATTTATTAAAATATCAATCCTTTATCAACTATTTATAAACAGAGCTTTAATATAAAGTGTTACTCAAAATGCCCCTTTTATTAAAGTCAGGCCCCTTTAACTGCCCTTGTTCTCAGGTGTATCAACTGCAAAGGCCATAGTTTGGCACTAGAGGAACATAATGCATATCAGCCTCCCTCTGCACAGGCAGCAATAACTACGGACACACTTTGTTATAACAGGAACCACACTGTGTTGGCTTGCACTGCCCCCAAGAACAAGGAATGGATGAAAGTGCCTTTCTTAGATAGTTTATTGCCACAAGAATTGTTCATTTAACTGTTACATAAAGAGTTGATACTGTTAAGTTATAGCCAAAATTACGTGAAATCAATATGAATTTGACAGGGTTCAAACCCACTGTAGAGCCAGATGCCCAGATTAATGCAAAACAGAGCAAGTTTAGGAGATCTCAGGGTTATGAGAATGGGCCATCTCCTTGTCAATAAGCAAGGAAAACCATTACACCCTGCCAGTTAGAAGAGAGGGGGGGGGCACCAGCTGCACTGAAAAGAAAGATGCTGACAGCTGCATAAAGGTCCTTTTAGGGCTGCAGCTGCTTGCCTCTGGCAAATTTAAAGAGCCATCCCCTGAAGGGCATGCTGGGAAAAAACAATCTTATACAAGGGCAAACCTGTACTGAGGAGAATGGGTAGGGACCAGGAAGTTCCCAAGGGAGATGCTGCTCTTTTCACCACCATAACTCAGAAGTCATCTCCATATTCTGTCCCCCTCCACATTACTGATTTTAAGAGAAGACAAAGGCCTCATATACACGTTTTTGTGGAGAACTGTTGCATTAACACCTCGACAGCTTGTGATGGAGTGCTGAGGGCTGGCACTTGAGCCAGCACTCTGGTCACTATTTGTTCTAAATAGGTTCCCTTAGAGAAGGCCTAATTGGACAAAGGACTACTTGGATTACCAGGCCAGAGTGAGGCTGGTGAACCAATTAGCTCATTAACAGGGAAACTGTTAAAAAAAAGGCACAGGAAGGCATGCTGGGGGAGGAGAGGAAGCCTGGTTAAAAGGAGTCTGCTGAATAGAGACACCATCTTGCCTCCTTTTTGGAGAAGGGGTTAGAAAGTTGAGATAAGTAGGAGGATGTAGAGACACAGGTAGGTGTTGATGGAGGGATTAAAACACTGTAAATAAGCCAGGAGGTCTGAGTGGGTCTGTGTTCGTGGAAGAGGCTGGGATATGCCACGCTGCCCCATCATACAGGTCCAATGCTAGCAGCGGTGGGGACACTGCTGTAGTCTGGGCATTGGTATCTAGATGTGCCCTGATGGGGGTAGATGATGCTGTGGTAAGAATGCCGCTAACCGGTTTACACCACCACTGCTAGCAAGGATGGAGCTCAGAAACCACAGGGTGGCACAGCCTAATGGAGAGAAGAGTGAATATACAAAGAGAAGTAGGGCTCTGGGGTAGGAATTTGAAAAGTGCCTTAGGAGCACAAGTTCTATTGACTTTCAATGGGACTTGTGCTTCTAAATCACTCAGGCACTTTTCACAATCCCACTCTAAACTCACTGGGCCAAGCCCTCTGTTATACTCATGAAACCCCATTAACTTCAGTGGCATTATGTGCCACTGTACCTGACAGGAAAGATTTCCTCATTTGGCCCAATTCACCATTCCCCTTACCTTGTGTAGTGAAGTAGTTGAACCTGTGCAGAGTAGGTGTGATCTCACTGGCTAGTATCAGAGGGGTAGCCGTGTTAGTCTGAATCTGTAAAAAGCAACAGAGGGTCCTATGGCACCTTTAAGACTAACAGAAGTATTGGGAGCATAAGCTTTTGTGGGTAAGAACCTCACTTCTTCAGATGCAAGTCATCTTAAGGTTTCTTGCATCTGAAGAAGTGAGGTTCTTACCCACGAAAGCTTATGCTCCCAATACTTCTGTTAGTCTTAAAGGTGCCACAGGACCCTCTGTTGCTTCTCACTGGCTAGCATTTTACATCCTCTTTGCACTGCCAATCTAAGTTCAGGGAAACAATGAATTAGGCCAACTGTTTTCATAAGAGACCAGAATAATTCTCTTGCTAACCTATCATGCACCTGGAAATACTGTCAGCTGAATGACTACCATTTTGGTGGCAGCAGCTGTTTTCAAACTCTTTAGAGTCCTTCCCAATAAACCAGTATCCTTGTACTCTGATAAAATTCAGCTTAATATTCCAGGGTTGGGAGAAGGGGAATGGTCATAGCAGATACCTCCTGCCTTGTTAGGATAACAACACTGATTCCACAATTACAATACAAGGATAATCAATTTGTAGGGTCCTGTGCACCCAGCAGAAGGTACTGCTGTTCTGTGGAATGGACTGTACAATTGATAATTGCAATTGATCATCACACAAACATCACCTAACTTGTTTCCATTTTTTATGAGATCAAGAGTTCGATAAAGCTAACTGTCTTGACATAACATACCTAGCCTTTTGTATGGCATTCGTTTTAGTCCCTCCTGACACATTCTGATAATTTTTTAGTACTATACATAAACAAACAAAAAAAATCAATGCCGTTCATTTTAAATGGATTGAAAACTAGTTAACTGACAGACAACAGAAAGTAATTGTCAATGAAGAACTGTCCTCCAGTAGGGGAGCTTCTAGTTCTTCAGGGATCTATTCTTGGCCCAATGCTATCCAATCTCTTTACCTATGAGGTTGAAGAAAGTATAAAATCATTACGGGTAAAATTTGCAGATGGCACACAAATTTGGGTAGTGGTAAAAAATGAAGACAGGTCAATTATACAAACTAAGCTGGATCGCTTGGTGAAGTGGGCTTGTTTCATGCATTCTAACACAGCCATATAGCTAGGAACAATGAATGCAGGTCACTCTTACAAGTTGGAGGACTATGCCACTGGAATGCAAAGAACTTAGGGGCCTTGGTAGATAACCAGTTGAACAGGAGCCTAGTGCAATGTTCTAGCTAAGAGAGAGAACAAGACCTTTGGATGTATAAGAAGGGAATATCAAGGAGGAGCAGAAAGGCTGCATTACCTCTGTATATGGCATTAGCGAGCTCATTACAGGAATACTGTGTCCCGTTCCGGTATTCACACTTCAAAGAGATGTTGAAAACTGGAAATGAGTCAGAAGAGAGCTACAACGATGATTTGAGGTCTGGAAAGCATGCCTTAGAGAGCCTAAAGGAGCTCGGTTTAGTTAGTTTATCCAAGCAAAGGTGAATTGGTGACTTGGTTACAATCTACAAGTATCTACACGGGAAAGAGATTTCTCATATGAGGCTCTTTAATCTGGCAAAAATGCAAAATGAGATCTAACGCCTGGAAGCTGAAGCCAGACCAATTCAAACTAGAAATAAAGGGGAATTTTTAAACAGTGAGGATTTTCACTGAAACAACCTAGGAATGTTGTGGATTCTCCATCACTTGAAGTCTTTAAATCAAGACAGAATGTTTGTCTAAAAGATAGGTTATAGCCATGAGTGGCGGGTATCAAAAGCCGGATAAGGCTGAGCCTCCCCAAACAGCCCTGCATGGCCCTGCTAACTCTCTGCCACCCCTGCTTCCTGGTGCTGTGCTGCGGGTGGCTCTTCCCCTGTGGCCAGGGCCCTGGGCTGGGGCTAATGGGGGCCAGCCTGCAGCCAGGGACTCTGCCAAGAGCTCTGGGGCTGAGGGGAGAGGCTGCACTGCCCTCTCAGTGTTCTGGAGATGGGGGTGCTCGGGCGGCCTGGGCGGGATGGGGGGGCCTGGCGGCTGCAGCGTGTGTGTGTGTGTGTGTGTATGTGCACGTGTGCTCTGGGCTCTGGCGGGAGGAACGGGACCTAAGGCAGAAGGGGTGGGCTGGGCGCTAGCCTCCCTGAGCCAGGGGTTCACCCGTCGCCCATGGTTATAGCTCAGACAAGTTCTGGGCTTGATGCAGAAATTACTGAGTGAGGCTCTTTGGCCTGTGTTATGCAGAAGGTCAGACTGGATTATTAAAATGGTACCTTGTGGACTTAAAACCTAGGACTCTAGGGCCTTGGGGAGTGGGTCTAATCCTGAAATGCGTCACAAAAGAAAGTTTGGATTTCTCTCCCCATTATCCACATCACAGAACCATCTCCTGACATAGTGCAATTAACGGTCTCCACCCAAGATAGGTCTGGGAGTGGCATCTTTGCACCAGGCTGGTAAAGGCCTCCAAGGGAAAAAAAGAGACCATGGCCCCATGATCATGAGGGTAGAGCTCAGGGGCCAACTGTCTCTCAGGAAATCTCCAAGTAAAGACAGACAGACTTTCCTATAAGTGTCGAGTCCTGTGGAGCTAGTTCTCTGCACTGCGCCTTGCACCCTGTGTGAGGTGAGTGTGAAACATGTCCTTGTCAGAACAGTGATGACTCGGTGAGTTACACACAGACAGGTCTTTGAGGCCAAGTGGCAGGACTCCCTGTTACTCAGCTCCCCTCTTCAGGGCGTGGGAGGCAGCTACAGGCTCTTCACATCGCAGTTCAGTTATGGGAATACTGCTGGGGCACGTTCACTTCAGTCCTCTTCCATGCCTCAGGGGGTGGGGGCTGCGCTTCATGCCCAGTCCCCGAGTCTCAGGTGGATTGGGGAAGGGAGGTTCTGCTGTTTCCTTTGCTGGCACCTGCAGTGCATGGTGGAGCATGCCTCAGCAGAGCCAGCTGCAGGCACCCTCTGGCGACCAGAGAGGAGCTGAGAAGCCTGACTCTGTGTAAGCTTTAGAGACGGGCCTCTCATTAAACAGGCTGAGGACTGTTAACACAAATTGGCTGGCTGGGGAGATTTCCTGGTAGCCCTGTGAGTGCGTTTGACCCTGATGACTGGAAGCAGGTCCGGTGACAGCGATTCCGGGCCCCAGGGCCAGGGTTGCCCCGAGGGGGGTGCGGATCCTGGGGCGGAAGTAATGAATCCATCACTTCCGGGACCGACACGTCACTTCCGGGACCGACCAGGCTGTCCAATTGCACCGGCAGCTCGCAGGACCCCCCAAAGTGTGGGGCCCGGAGCAGTTGCCCCGATTCGCCATACCCTAGGGACGGCTCTGCCCAGGGCAGAACAGTCAATGGGTCCCCTAGAAAGATCCGCCTGACATTTGGGCGGTGCTGCGCCTGCGCTGGCTGGTGCCCAGCAAGCTACCAGCTGCGCTGTTGAACGTGCACTTCCGGCACGGCCAAGGCTTTCGCATGCCCACTCGGCTGCCTTCGCTGCCACCTGTACCATCCCGCATGCGCCTAGGAGCACTGTGGCCCGCCCAGGCGATTTAAAAGGGATGCAGAGCTTTTAAATCGCCCGGGCCCCTGGGCAATTGCCCCCTTATACAGACCGCTCCCCCATCAGCAGGCCTGATTGGAAGTGCAGGGGGAGCTTTCAGGTCAGGATTGGGTGGGGGTTGGCAGTGCTGGGAGAGGGACACATTTTGTACAACACATGCTCATGCTCTGCTTGGCTTCAGTGCTATTAGTCCCTGGGTCAGGTTCTGATCCCAGTTGGAGGGTCACTCCAGATTTACATGGGTTTAACTCTGACCGTAAATAGCCTCCCTCGCTTTTCAGAGCAACTAAATACCTCCCCAAGTTTAGCTTTTCCTCCCTCAGAAAGTAGTCAGAGGGCAGCAGGCCACTATGCTGTTCTCAGCAGGGGCAGTTGAGTAGTGTGTGTACTGGAGGATAGAGTCCGGGTGGGCTATTCACAGCACTGCCTGCTATCCTTTCACAGGACCTTGTTGGAGAAGTCCTTGTGTCGCTGAAGTGTCTTCCCATCTCTCAGAAGATAGAAATTGGGCTGCTCAAAGTCAAAACTGCCTCCGTGTGCAGCAGTCCAGAGAAGAGTAAAGGCATTTATTTCACCTACTGTCTGTGGTTGCCTGAGGTTCTGTATCTCTGCAGCTTTCTCTGTCTGCGGCCTCTCTTCTTTCCCAGGGGAAGGATAGGGTATAAGAGAGAGTACTCGAGCTCCCCTTCTGCTGGCCCATTACAGTCCAGTGGTAGGGGAGTATTTGCCAAAACCCCACTGAACACTGCTGCACTGGCTCAGAGGCACTGCTGAAGCACAGAGCCCCGGCACCAGGTGGGGCAGAATGCCATTGAGAATTGAAGCACAGGAGCGATAATGGAAGAACCCAGCACAGGGACTTCCACTACTGCTACTTGAGTGACTCTTCCCTAGCAGGGCAGTCTCCTCCCACACGCACACATACATTGTGTTAGTCCATTTCTGAGACAACGCAGAGATGCAAAGGGGCAGAACAGAGAACCTGGCCCTTGTACCTGCCATAAAGCCAGATTAGTCAGGCTCCTGATGATTATCTCAGTGTGGAGGAATCCCCAGGTAGCATACAACTGACATCCTCCCCTCCCCCCACTGTGTGTGTGTGTGTGTGGTTGATGGAGAGATGTGGGCACAGTGTTGCTGTGCTCATGTAGTTCAGCTGTGGGGGCAGCTCCAAAGGGCCAGGGACCCACTTCAGAGATGCCCCGAGACTGCTCTACGTTGCACAAAAGCTGAAATGGCCCCGAGTCGTCTCGAATCAGGGAAACACAAAAGGTGACAAAGCCACCTTTTCCTTCCCGTGACCTCTGGGATCCTGTACCAAGCACCACCCAGCCAGACGGCACATCTGGGCACATTGTCGTCCGTGACATCCTCTTCCTCTGCCTGAACGGCTAGTTGGGGCTGCGGTGGGGGGAGAGGGGACAGAAATATGGGGCTGTTATCTTCTTGCATTGTATGGTGCGTAAACTGACAGATAGCATTAGGGGATAAGTGAGTTGGATCTCCTGGCCACCCCATCCCACTAATTTGGCAAAGCCCTTAGCCCTTCCTGTGGTTTCTCTCTTGCCTACTCCTGCAGACATATTTCCACCTTCAGATCTCTCTTTTCTGGGAGGAACAAGGGCAGCAGAGAGTTCAGCTGCTTTTGAGATCTTCTTGCCCCAAGACCAATTGTTCCTATACCAGGTTCCTCCAACTAGGAGCAGAGCTGGCTGTTTTGCCAACCCAGGGTGGAAAAATATTTGATGCACATGCACACACCCCAAGAGCTGTGCAAAAATCCCACCACCAGAGTGGCACAGTGGTACGGTACACCTCAGGCAGTTGGTGCCCATGGCAACTACCCTGCTTGCCCACCCATAGAAACAGCCCTGCCACCAACACCCTTAGACTTTCTACTTGGAAGGGGCCTGACTCTCCAGTGCCTTCTCTCCCTTGTTTCCAGCCAGGCTTTGGTGTAGTAGGAACTGGGTTTAATGTAACCATCCCCTTGCCAGTAAGGGTAAAATTCTCATCTTGATACCTATGCACCATTCTCATGGACTTTAGCAGGAGTCTCACAGACATTCAAGGGCAGAATCTGGTGCTAGGCATATACCTTGTGAAACTGTCATGGTTCACCAACACATAAGTGCATGGATCACAGGACCCAAATCTGATCTGTGGTTAACATTACAGCCCTCCTTCTGCACCACTGAAATCAGTGGGAGCTTTGCCCACCGAAAGGGTGCAGGATCAAGTCCATAGAGCAGTAACGTCAGGTCTGAGGGATGCTCACAATGTCCTATATCCTCATTTTTCCCTCTTGCTCTCTCCCTGCCCCAGGTGTGTATGCGAGAATAGACATCTCCTGCCATCTCCACAAACAGAAGAATCAGAAATCCAGCCCCAGGGCCCGAACCTCAGTCATCATCTTCAACGAGACTTTCCTCTTCCATCTTGCTGAGCCTGTTGCTGGGGCCTGCACAGTCCTGGTCTCCGTTTATGAAATGAGCTCCAGGGCCAGAGGCAGCAGCAGGCAGCTCATTGGACAGGCTGTCCTGGGGAAGAGGATCCCCAGAGAAGCCAATGACCACTGGGCCCTCATGATGCAGTCTGTCCAGCAGCCTGTGGCTAAGTGGCATCCTCTGCTACTTTAGAAGGAGGATTTTGCACCACTTCCATGATGTAGAAACTGGCCAGATTTTCTCCATGGCATCAGGCCCAACAGCGTTCGAAGTGGGTATCTTCCAGAGATGGGTAATAGCCTGAAGCTCCTGGTTAGAACAGCACTAACCGAAGTAGCTGCTAGTTGTGACAAAAGTTGCTGATTCATTCTCCCTCCCAGCAGCAGCAAGGGAATGTCTTTCCATCCCTGCCAAGTCCCATTGTGATTTGATTAACAGTACTATTGCCGCAGCACCGAGAGGCTGCAACTGAGACCAGGGCCCCACTGCACTAGGTGCTGTGTATACACACAGACAGTCAGTAAGAGAACAACTCTGCCCTGATGAGTTTACAATCTGAACAGTCAAGGGAAGCAATGGGTGGGAGGAAAGGAGTATTATTATCCCCCTTTGACAGATGGGGAATTGAGGCACAAAGATTAAGTGACATGTCCAAGGGTTCACAGGGACTCTGTGACAGAGTGGGGATTTGAACCCAACATCTCCTGAGTCCCAGTCCAGTGCCTCAAGCATCCTTCCTCTCTTTCCCCTTTCTTTGCCTGGGAGAGTCTCAGATGTGGCACTTTCCCAGTGAAGGCACCCAGGCCTTGCCACCACTGCCTCCCTTCACTCACACGCACATAGAGTGCCTGTGGGGATGGATGAATACAAGACCTCGGCATCCCAGGCTGTCAGTCAGGCACTTTCCTTCAGTGATACCCCCATGTTAAAAACAAACATGCTTTGTGTAAATGCAGCCCCCTCTCACCTGCTAAAGATAAATGAAACAGCCCAGACCTTGTAAACGAGAGCAGAGCCTGCTGAAGTAGGAGCAACCTGCACACTTTGCCCTTGCTGCCCTCTCAGGAAAGGTCTGGCCCCTGTGGCCACCACCACAGCTGGAGAGCTGCCAGCTGCTAAATTTGGATGAATGGTTGTGATCCATCTCCAGCAAATGTGTGTGTGTTCAGGGCTCTCCTGAAGTGGCTAGGAGGCATGGTAGTGCATCTAAAGCTCATTAATGCTTGTAAACTGTTTTCTTCCCAGGATATCACCATTTCCCTGCACCGCATGTAGGGGTGGACAGTGGCCACTGCTCTGGGACTTCAGGCTTCTGCTTTGTTTAGTCTCCCAGCACACAGCACCCCCTGGTGGAGGCATGGCAGCACAATCTCACCTTGTCTGGCTGTAGAAACAGATCAGACCCCATATCCACCTAGTCCTGTATCCAGTCTCTAACAGTGGCCAGCACCAGCTATTTCAGTGGAAGCTATAAGAACCCTGCAGTGAATAGATGTGGGAGAATCTGATCCCCACATTAGGTCTCACCTGGATCTCTGTCAGTTAGAGAATGGTTTAAGCCCTGATGCACGAGGCTCCATAGCCTTTCCTAAATTTGTCATAATTAATTATAAGAATTTTGGATATTCTTGATACCCATAAACATGTTTTATCCCTTTTTGAATCTTGGTATGTTCTTGGCCTCAGTGATGTCCTGTGGCAGTGAGTTCCACAGTTATGTGAAAAAAGTATTTCCTTTTATTGGTTTTGAATTTCCTACCTTTTAATTTAATTGCATGTCCTCTGGTTCTTGTGTGATGAAACAGGGAGAACAGAAGCTCCAAATCTATCTTCTCTGTCTCATTAATTATTTTATATACTTTTTATCATGTCCCCTCTTACTCATCCTTCCTAAAGTGAACAATCCCACTCTTCAATCTCTCTCCATAGGACAGGCTTTCCAGGCTCTTCATTGAACCTCCTCTAGTTCTGCACCATCCTTTTTGAGATGGTGTGACCAGTACTCCACACAGTATCCAGATAAGGTCACACCCTTGCTTTATATGAAGGCATTAGAATATTCTCTGTATTATTCACCATCCCATTCCTTATACAGCCTAACATTGTGTTAGCTTTTGTGACTGCAGCTTCACATTGAGCAGAGGTTTTCATTGAGCTCTCTATATGGACACCAAGGTCCCTTTTCGAGCTGACACAGTTAATTTAGAATCCTGCAAGGTCCACAAGGAGTTTAAACTTTTCCCTCCAAGGTGCATTACTTTGCATTGATCAACACTGAATTTCATTTGCCACCATGCTGCTCATTCTCCTAGCTTGGTTAGGT